AATCGGGAGTGCCGATGGGTGCGCCCAGGACGGACGTACCCAAAACTGCTGGGAACCGGTCGCTCTCGTCTCGTCGTCCTCGGACTGGGAACCGGCGGGCGCTGGAGCCAACAATGCGTTCCTCTAACTTGGACTTCGAGATGGGCAGTGCTCCTGGCCGAAGCAACCATGCTATTTTTTGCCAGCAGCCTCCTTACGCTGCCCGCGTCCGCTGCCACCAACGTGGACAGACCGTGCCGCTGTGCGCCCTATAGACCGAACCAGCACGCATCGTCCTGCAAGGCTGGCAGGCCACCAGGCTCCAGCAGCTCAGGCACTTGGAGCCGCTCAAGGCGGGAAGCCAAGTTTTGCAAAAGCCGCTTCACCGGTGCAAGGAAGGGAACAGGGCTGGTCAGCTGCTGCTCTTGGGCTGCAAGCTAGCCCTCATCTCAGAGCTCAGAGATTGGCGGCCCCATGTATGCCCAAAAAGCCATCCACGAAACACCAAAACATGTGATTTTGGGGTAGTGCTGGGGGTGCTGAGGAGGCGATCTTATTTTTGATCAGTACTTGCGCTCAGGGGTGCGACATGGTAGCTATTGAGGGTGACACTGGGTGAAAGCCGCTCGCCGCTAAAGGCAAAATCCAACTGAGAATGTGCAGGAGGGTCCGCTACGTGGTTTGGGGCTAACCCCTCGGCGTTGCCCGAAAGGACCCTGCTGAGCAAAGGAGTGTCACCGTCAAGCGATGTTCCGGAGGAAGCTGTAGACTGTTTGCAAACACTCGGCGGGCAGCAACAAAATTAGTTTGCTACCAAGCAACCTTGATCATGCATTGTTGCTAGAATATATACCAATGCATAATAGCATCGGTGTTGTCTTGTTCCGGACATTGAACCGATGCACGGTCCGTATAGTGGTCACGTTGGTGAACTAGCGTCTGTCTACGCTGGTGCTTGCCGACGCAAGTGGAATATTCGCGTTCACCTACGCTGATGTGGTACGCTCTTCCGGTTGGTGGTTCATGGTGTGGTGATGTGCTTGTATGCTTTCGCCCCTGACGATGTGGTGGGGGATTAGTGAATGCTTTTTCAGCTGACAGGTGAAGTTAGTCACGTGCTGTGGTCGATATTGTACTGTTGTACTGCAGCTAAGATGCGCTTTCTTCATAGTTGGCGGCTTCTTGGCCAGTGGCGGTGACATGTGGTGATGTGATCTGCTCTTCCCACGTGGCTGTGGAACGCTCACTGCCAGTGATCAGATGGGAGTGAAGAAAGCAAGCGCTTTTCTATTGACAAGTGTGGTGAGTGCCTCCCTGTCTTTTATTGTCTTAACTGGTGGACATGTCTAGATTCTAGCTTCCGATCATTCGTTCAAGGATGCTTGACTGGCTGTATGTACGTTGTATGTTCTCACTCCCAACGGATTTTTCAACCCTGCTAAAGCAAGAACCACCTTTGCCAGTTTGCCTGACCAGCAAAACCCTCATTGTGTGGACCGCCACCACTCCGCTTTGGTCATGCCAATTTCCGCCCCTTGTCAGTTCACCGCAAGAATCATGAAAGTTCTTCGGTCAGGATCTTCAGCAACACCTTGAGCTCAGAGCCAGAAACTGTGGAACTCTCGACATGCGCATTTGTCGCCCTCCAAAACCACTCCAAAGCAGATTAACCCCTCCCATGGCAAAGTCGACCCAGGATCCAATTGGCCAAGGCCAGGAGAGGATTGTGGGAAGGCATGGGTTTGCATCAGGAAAGGTCACTCCCCTCCCTGCATGGAAGTGGACAACTCAGTTTGTACAGTAGAGGAAAATTGTCTTACCTTCCACGATTGCTGCAGGTACTTCGGAGGTCCAGGGACTCGCTGTGCATTCTGTTTTGCCCTCTGGTGAGTATCCAGACATCCAGGAAGACAACTAGCAAAAGGTTTGCGAAAACCATGTACTGTAAATATATATATATATATATGTGCTTGATTTGCTGTTGGAAGCCCCAATCTTGGGGGGACCGGAGATGACCGGAGGGGACCTTTTGGGGTAAGGGATCAAAATAGAAATAAAAATAGAATCAAAAAAACATATTCAACGGGGATCAATAAAAAAATAAAAGGTAATCAAAAAAAAAATTCTAGCCCACTGAGGATGGTTGGGGTAGTAGTAGTAGCAGTAGCAGTAGCAGTAGCAGCAGCAGCAGCACCAGCGTAGCAGCAGCAGCAGCAGCAGCAGGAGGAGGAGGAGGAGGAGTAGGAGTAGGAGTAGGAGTAGGAGTAGGAGTGGGAGTGGGAGTAGTAGTAGTAGTAGTAGTAGTAGTAGTGGTAGCAGTAGCAGTAGCACGGCGTTCACACGAAGTTAGGCCCTACATGGCGTTGTCAGAGCGCTCGGAGACAGAAGGACTAGGATACCAGGGGACCAGCGGACCACAGGACCAGAGGACCAGGAGACCGGAGGACTAGGGGACCAGTGGACTAAAGGACCAAGGGACCAGGGGACCAAAGGACCAGTGGACCAGAGGACCAAGGGACCACATTACCAGAGGACCCGCAGACCACAAGGCCAGGAGAGCAGCAGAAGAGGCCTATCAAGGAATATTTATTTGTTGATTCGCTTTTTATTGTTCTTTTGATCCTGTTTTTACTTTTTTTTGATGCTCTTTTTATTATTTTTTTGATACCTATGCCGACCTTTTGCTCGTCCTGATGAAGCATGTCAGCATGTCTGATTCTCACTTGTTTGTGCGGCTCTGTTCCAAAGGTACTGTAGCCTCAGCACAGCATTCCTCCCACAACAACACGCTGTGCAAGGAAGCACGGAAGCATCTGAGGCCAAGAGATGACAACCAAACTAGCTCGCCTTGAGTGCCTAAGATACCACCAAAAAATTTGGAGCTTGTCGCTGGTGCCCCTAGAACGGCCAAGGGTGGGGCTAAACTTGAGCCCGCCACAGCCTTGGCCGGGGGAAGAGGAGGAAGGCTCTTTTCTTTTCGGTGTCGTTTTCCGCTTTCCACAGTCTGGGCGGCGCAATTTGTGTGCTTGCCTGTGTCCAATGCAAAGAGGTGGCATCGTTGACATGGCGTGAGGACGCTGAGGCGTTGCTGGCTGTTGTGGTCCCTGGATATCCCGGCGTGTGATGAAACCTGTTTCAGGGCTGTGCACAAGCTCGAGTCCCTGTCACGCAAACCGAGCAAGGCGGGGTGATGCAAACGTTGATCATGTGCGATCGACCTCCCAATTCAATCGAAGCGCCGAGAATGAGGTGCGCTAAGCAATTCAAAGGTCGGATTGCCTGTATCTGCTAGCCTAAAATACAGCATATATAGTTCTGTACATCATTTGCCAGACATGAATGCAAGCAGCAACAAACAGGCTGAACACAGCCCAAGACGGTCTTCATGACCGCTTATGCCCAAATGGGGAACCAGTGTTGTGCTTGAACGCATGCGATTTGAGGCGGTGGAATTGCGCAACATTCATCAAAAAGTTTAAAAGCGGCCGATTTCTTTAAGTGCGTCGACAGTAATTAAAACGCTCAGCATGCTTGAAAGGACTCATGCTCTGCACCAATCCCCGCAGTGCACTCTCGCCCCTTTTTGTCTGCAGAGTGGACAATCATAAGAGCCCTTCTCATGTCAGCTGCCTGAATCTGCAGCTCCAAACGCTTCGCGTCAATCCGAAAACCCACTGGCAGCCAGAGCATCTGACCCACACCTGTTCACCTCAAACGGGCAGCAGTCTCACTTTGTGGGCAAAACCCGTGGGGCACGCAGGTGCCTGGTCTTTTGAAAATGATGTGCAAATCACGATCAAAGGAAAGCACTTCCTTCTCTCATGGCCAAGGTGCTTTGAACAAGCAAGGCCATTGGCATGGAAAACCCTGCAAAGCCTTCAGGCCCAGACCCCTGCAGACTTTTGAAGGTCCTCTGCAGTTGGCACAAACTGATGCACTTTCTCGATATGCTTTCGCAGGACACCCTTGTATGCGAAGGTCTTGTCACAGTGTCTGCACTTGAACTCTTTCATCTGCAAGTGGGCCACCCTGAAATGCAATTTCATCGCAGCTGTTGACATGAAAGTGTGATGACAACCTTCGTGTTTGCAGGGAACCACCATCCCGCGATGTACCGTATCTTTGTGATGCTTGAGCTGATCAGGCCGTTTGCAAGTCCAGTCGCATTCGTCACAAGTATATGTCTTGGGGTGTGCTGCCTTTCGATGTCGTACCATGTCCAAAAACTTCTCAAAGGTCTGCCCACAACTATTGCACTTGTGCTTCTTCGGCACAATGCCCTCAAGGCCCTCATAGCCCTCATGTCGATGGTGGGACAAAATGTGTCTTTCCAAATCACTCGGGTTCGCATATGTCTTGCTACAAAATGGGCATTTCCCTTGCGGAACTTTTTGACCCTCAGCAACATTGGGATGCACCAACTGCCAGTGCTTCTGAAGTTTTGCCTTCTTTCGAAACCGGAGGCCACATGCTTCACAAGTAAGCCCATTGTGAGCGCATCTCACATGGCTCATCAAGTCGCATTTCCGCGCAAAAGTCTTGTTGCAACAGTTGGCTATACATCTGAATGGCTTCACTGCAAGGTGAACAGACTGGTGATCCAGCAAATCCACCTTTCTTTTGTAGGACTTCTCACAGCCAGGATAGTCACACTTGAACTTCCGCTCAGCTGTATGGAAATACACGTGTTTATGATACCTGGTGCTGGTCGGGAAGGACTTTCCGCAGTGAGGACAAGCCCGTGGGTATTGAACTCTTTCTTTCCTGGGTTTCAAAGGAATTGGGCTGGAAAAATCAGGCTGCGGTTGTGCCGTCATCTTTCATCCAACATCGTTACCACTTTGGCCTCTTTCTTTCTCTGGCATGGCATCAAAACGTGAGTCTGTTGAAAACATGTGCGAGTGCATGTCATTTGTTTTGTCCTTACAGAAACAGATGTCACTGGTCTAATAGTTGCGCGCCTGTCGAGCCTTAGGCGGGCTCTAGTTTGTTCTTACATGAAGTGAACCACGGTCCATGGCCCCCATGCTACGATAATCAGAAGCACAGCCTGAGCCCGTGCTGCAGCAAAATAGACTTCAAATACAAGCATCACGCAAATTTCGCACCAACTGGCTGCTTCCTCAGTATGTGCCCGGCTGACTCGCAACCCGATTGAAGCCATTCTCGCAACCTTTTTCGAAACACTCGCTGCAACTGATAGGCTCCTGTCTCTGTGGAGTAAAACTCAGCCACAAAGTGCTGTGCAAGGTCTACAAGATGTTGAGCACAAGGACCTGTGCGGACACAAAAAACGTCCCCCTTTCATCCAGTGCAAAGGCATTTCATTCCCAGGACAAGGTGCTTTTTCCACATGTTGGGATACAGGCAAATATTTGAGGAGCCGGATGCAACAACTTGCATATTGCATTGGGAAGCCCCCTAACTTAATCAATGAGGTTGGATCGCACACGTCAAGTTATGGCAGGATCCAATGAAAAACAATAATTCTTGAAGAATGTAGAACCCCTACATGCCGTTTCAAACCCAAAGAATACAAGCAAAGGGCTGCCAAAGCAACAAGATGTAACGCCTGCAGCAAATGCAAAGTATGAGACAATGAAAAGGTGCACAGTACCCTATCTAATCAGTTTTGCCAACACAATTAAAGTTGGCATGCAATCCAAACACTCCTTTCAAAGGGATTCGGTTCAGCAGTACAAACTTGATAAAGAAAGAACTCCTTTAGAATCCTTTAGAAACAGGCCCTTACTTCGGCTGGCCTTTGTGATCAGGAATACTTGATTCATTGCTCCATTGTCATTCATCCACCATCTGTCTAGCGACTTAGTCCAAGGTTAGTTTGAGAAAGGCGGTTTTGAGACGCCCACATGCTGATGCCTTTACAAATATATATATATATCCCTTATATAATCTTAAATTCCAAAGGAATTAGTGAACAATGTTTTGGCAACACCAAAACTACAAAGGGCATTACTACTAGGAGCAAGAAGCTATTAGTAACTACTACTACTACTACTACTACTACTACTACTAGTAACAAGAAGCTACTAGTAAGAAGGGCATCGTTACTAGTATATAACAAAGGGCATTACTACTAGTAGTATTCTTGCTACATGTGAACTCTTGTGACTCAAATGGACTTACCGCCTTCAGCTTCTTGGAGTTCAATGTGCCATCCCCAGATTCAGATTTCGCCAATTGAAAGCCTCTGCCAGCTGTTGAATGGCTGTGGAAAACCTTGCCCGTCTGAGAGATCCATAATTCTCCTCTGCGCAAGTCCATACAGAATAGAATCTTCAAGAAAAAATTGAATGCCGACAAACAAAAACATAACTTTGGGCCAGTTCCCCTTTCATGCCTCCATGCAGACCTCCAAGCCAATGAACAAACTGATGGGCGTGTGCAAGGCTCTGCACTCGTTGTAGATCTTTACGGATCGATGCACTTCATTCTTTCCTCTGCCAATTCGGCAAAGAAGCTACTAGTAGCAAGGTGCATCGCTACTAGGAGCAAGGACGCTACTAGGAGCAAGAAGCTACTAGGGGCTCCTTGCCTTACTACTACTAACAAGAAGCTACTAGTAGCAAAGGGCATCGCTATTAGGAGCAAGGACGCTACGAGTAGCTCCTGGCATTAGTACTAGTAACAAGAAGCTACTGGTAACAAAGGCATTGCCAGTATGTAGTAATTGCAATTGAAGAAAAGACCTTGTTCACAAATACTACACAGTAAATCGCCAACTCTTGCGCACAAATCACCACATGAATGTCATATCATATCTAATAACGAATCCCCTTCAACGCTCTGCTTTACGCTTTTGAACGCAAAACCCTCAGGAGAAACTCTTGAGAGTGACCATGAAGCCTGGTCCATTCTGCCACCACTCTTCATTTGTTTTTCGGCTTGACGGCAAAATCCATCCCCAGCACCGGGGACATGGATTTATTCCTCGGTGCTTGTGTCTCCCCTTCTGTGACTAAACTGACATGCCGCATGCCCTACTGCTAGGCGCTTGGCACTTAGCACTATCAATGGTGGCTCTGGGACTTCTGTCACCCCTTGTGCACTCTTCTTCGAGTCTCTCAATCGCTTTGATGCCTTGCCGCATCTCTGCCAGTTCGGAACGAAAGGCCAGGATAGGAGCCTGCAGGCATACTTCTTGAGAAAAAAAGTTCGTTGCAGGAAACCAAAAATTTATTGTTCCAATTGTTTGAATCAATAAGGCGGTAATTGACGCACTCCGTGAATGGAATGGAACATCAAACGCGCACCTTCTGCACCCAAGCCATGTTCCAATCCAACAATTGGGCTTGACCTGCATTCATCCGTCCAGCATAGACTAGAAGAATCAAAAACTTCCCGTGCTGTCACATCTGAGATCCAGGCGAAGATCAGGTCGATTGCAAATCACACACTCCAGAGCATATTCCCAGTGCCTCATGCCACCACAGCCTGCAAGAACTAATTCTCGTTCACACGCTCTCATCAGCACAACTGCTGACCTGCTGTAATCCCACGTGCTTCGTTGCCTCTGATGAAAGCTAAGGATTTGCATCTCTTCCCCTTCACTAGCTGCCCACCACAGCGATGCTCACGCACGCGTTGACCTGATATGAGCCAAAGAGGCACAGCACTTTACAAGATCTACACACAATCTAGCTTTGAGAAAGAGTGAGAAGTGTTGCTGTTGTTGCTTGCGTCATGCTACTGTACAATGGTTGATGGTTGATGAGTTTCAACATCCCCATCACAAGGAACATACTCTGTCTAAATGTGAAACAAATCCGCGCAACGAGGCAGGTGTATCTGGACAGTAAATAAAAGGAGAACGAGTCACCGAGTGTAGACTACAACCAGCAACCGTTCAATCCGAGACTGACTTGCCGATTGGTGAAGTGGTTTGGCGCTTGTTGCTGCACAAGCTGTTCTATTGGCTGATCTGTTTCCGGAGGCAGGTCCTTTATAGGGTTGCCCATGTCGTTTTTCCCCTGGGTTGGCTTCGCCTTCCCTGTTCCCTGAGCTTTCATGCACCTCTTCAGGACCAGGACCAGTACAAAATCAAGCCAACCCTGCACAACTAAGCACCCCCCCTTGGTTGCAATAAGTATAAGCAAAAAGAGGTCTGGTGTTCGGCCAAGCAGCGGGGTCCAACTTTTCGATATCGCTCGATGTCCAACAAATTCCTTAGACTAAGAAACATCACATCAAACAAGAAAAAGAAACCTCGAAATCCAAACTGAAGACAAGGTGCACCCACCCAGCCAATGAGTAGGGATGGTCGCATGTTGTTTCTGCTGCCTACAAATTGCTGCGACGATGACGCAATAATATCCCACTAAGACTGCGGGGTTCGAATGGAAACTTTTGACATCAGCGCAGCTAGCCTTGACAGAGGACTTCAAGGTCGTATGTATCTTTTCAATGGTCTTTGTCCAGGGTCGAGATCCTTAATCACGCAGAGGAACACAACCATGAAACTTCCAAAATTCAAGCAACGATTGGTCCGTAGTCTTGGAGCCTCAAAAACCATTTACTTAGACACTCCATTGGAGTCCATGGCTCGACTCTTGCGCACCTCCACTCCGGGGAACGCTGGCATCACTAAGACCATGCCTTCATTGCTCCAAAGTAACTCCAAGCCTGGTCAACTGCGAGGTGCACAGCTGTGCTGTGATGGAAGGCATGCTGGTCCTAACAAAGGAATTTATAGGATGTCATATGGCCGCTGGGATCATCAGCATTGGGCGACACAGCTCCCAAGTTGCTCCACACTGTTCCTAGTAGTTTCTTGTTCCTGGTAGTAAGGCCAGGAGCCCCTAGTAGCGTCCTTGCTCCTAGTAGCGATGCCAGGAGCCCCTAGTAGCTTCTTGTTCCTGGTAGCTTGTGCAGGGGGGAACAGCGCATCGCAGCAGCCTAGGCCATGCTGGTAAATGTTGCGATTGCTCTATCGTTGTCTGCTTTCTCGCACCCAACAAAGTGGGAATGTTCAACGAGTTTGCGCGGAGAGATACTGTAGGTCTCACCCCGGTTCCAGCAATGCCAACGGCTGATTTGCAGCAACAAGTTTTTTTGGGCATTCACTATTGGATTGTGACTTAGCAAGACAAACACGGAATCCAGGAGTCTAGGATAAGCATCACTGCTAAGTAATGGGATCACAGTGAGTCAACGGCCACGGTTTTCGCTCGTCGTTGTTTTGCCATTTTCGTGCGATACTTACAGTACTTTGAGGTTTCCTGCAGCACCACTGGGGATAGCGTTCAGCGTGATGTGCGCAGTGTTGGGTGGGGTGGGGTGGGGTAGGAGAAAGGGTCTCAGAGTACATTTATATACATGTACGCGTACAGGCAACATCACATGTGAGACTCTTCTTGAAAAGCCTAGCCTCACTGTTGAAATGAAAGAAACGTGGCCGACAGAGATCTGAGATTGAACGGAAGACTCGCATTGGAACACAGGAAGCTCTTGAAAAACTAAGTAGCTTGGGAGGTTGCTCAAAACATTCAAAACCTGCTTTGTCTTGTAGCAAAATTTCATGGTCTATTTCCCAGTCAGGTGGAAGCATGAGTGGAAGCATGAATGACAGCCTTGGCAAAAAACATCAGAAACCCAGTCAGGCTAAAGATTTATGTACAGCGTATGCACAATCAAAGTCCCTACGGCCATCTATGAGCCGTGGACCCAGTTTCCGCTCTACCGCCTCTACCCTAAGGCCCTAACAATGTGTGTAGATTGCCAGAGAAGAAAGCATAGGATGCGGTTCAACACACGAAAGCCAAAGAGCACACGGCGAATCATATCCACTTCAAAAGAAACACAATGAATGTAAGCGCACCTGCAATCCAACTGCAAGTTGATTGCAACTAATGACATCTACTGTATAATGACATCTGATGACATTGTCAAAAACATGGGCCAGTCGGGAAACGCCTTCCCTGATCCATGAGAAGTTTTCTTGCACCATCCATAACACTTCGATGTCCATCAGCGCCAAATATCCTGGGAAAATTTGCTTACAGTAGCACAAGCTGTTGCTGCAACATCTATGGTATGTCAAAAGAGCAAACCTGCTGCCATAAAATGCAACTGCCTCAGTTAAACTGGACAAGCACCACCTGTGATACCTGCTGAGTGTCTCTGCTTGCACCGGTCGATAGCAAAGTAGTGTGCTATCTGCACCTGACAAAAGCTGTGACCAATATGATCTGTACATCTCCGTGTGAGAAACGGTCTTGTCTTTGCACTGCACGAACCAATTGAAAATGTCTTGCCTCTTCTTCATAGTCTTCATTGAATTCTTTGTAGGCAACAGAACGGTGGCGCTCCTGTTGGCGATTGTTCGTCTGGATTTATACAACCTGAACACATCATTCCGGTGCAACATACAAAATTGGATTTGGTCCAGCTTCAAAAGCGACCTTCCTTTGGTTGTTCCAAATCTAGTGGCCTTCCACCTCGAGTCTGGCGGGTGCTCTTCAGGATGTAAATTTGCGGTTGTATTGACTTCGTCAATGTACCTGAATCAATGCAGCTAATTCTTGACATGTCCACTTACCTCATTCATCTTCTACTGGCTTCAAGAACCGGTACACATGTTTAGACTTCTGAATTGCTGCCCGAAGACTCAGCACTGTAGTTCACCGTCACCCACTCATGGAGTTTCCCACTGTTGACTAGCTTCTGTGCGTTTACCTCAATCTTGAAACCAACAAATGTCAACACGTTCAGAGGCGGTTCACGATGGAATCAACAATAAATCGTTGGCTGACTCAGCAAGCCTTCAGTGAGCTGTCACCTCTGAAAGAAAAAAACAACATAATCCAAATTGATTTCCAAAAAACTGCCAGTAGGTCCGGGATTTCGCTGCGAGAATCCACCACCAAAAACACATGCGCAAAGTTGAAGTGCTGATGTTTGAGAATGTGTCTAACCTCGGCATTGCATCTCAGCATCTTCTTGCCGTTCAAGACATTGTGTTTCCCAATTGAGGTTTTTAGCCTGGTTTTGTCAGCCAAGACACTCTCAAACGAATTTCATGTTGGTGATGCGGTTTTGCAAGTATCGCCAAGCAAACCCCGTCATTCTCTGAGGAGTCACAGTGTCCCTAAGCAAACTCCACACAAACACAAACTGGAACATTAATTGTCTTGTAGTTTCATGTCGTTTTATTTTGTACTTGTAATGAGTTGTTGGAATCCTTGCGTTTTGACGACCCCACCTCTTCTGCACAAGTGTCTTCAGAAGCTCCGGCAACCCTGAAACACAAATGACTTCCAATGACAAATCTACAAAGGCCACTTTAAGCATTTATGTAAAGTGCATGACTTGTAAGCAATTTACGTTGTTGTCTTTCCATTGATCCATCAATGTCAAGGCACAACAAAAAACTCAAAATAGCTGCTTTGGAGGCAAGGCCGACGAGAACCCACATAGCACCATTGGAGCAAACATTGAGACTAAGGAGAAGTGCAACTGCATGTCAACTATCAATTTGAAGTCTGAATCATTATATACAAACTGCGTGAATTGGTGCACGATCTTTGCAAAAGTGAATGTGACGCAACTATATATACTGTGGACAAACTTGTCTCGGACGCACGCGCAAATTTTTTTAATCAACCATGTTGGTTCCGTCTGCACATGGTATGCGTGTACTATTGGGATTGCATGTGCTTTTCCCAAGCATGGCACATCAATTGTGAACAAAAAAACAGCAATGCAACCAGCAAGGATCAGCAAGGTATACACATACAAAGTAGCAAGGACATGTTCAACCCAGTACTTGTCCACTCTACGGTAAATGTGCACTTTGTGGATAAACTGCACAAACCTCATTCACCAAACCTTTTTCTTTTTGACATGTTCCGCCACAACCGTGCAGGTGATTTCAACCAGCCACAGGAAACAAAAATTTCCATGCAACAACATTTTTCCCAAAAAACAACAACATCTTCCATAAATTATCCCAACCCCACCTTTCACGCAGGACATCAACGTCGCACAACAAATAATGTAGTGCACACATCTGGGTGCTCAAGAAGGTACAAACAACACGCAGGAATGCAATGTTCACAACACGCGACAGCGAATTGATGTGGGAAACGGAATGACATGTGCGGAAGACTCTATTCAGCGTTGCATTGTGTTTGGTTGTCTTAGGCAGTTCAAGCCCCGGTTGAATTCCAAGAGTCTCAAGCAGTACTCCAACATCCGCAGGAGACACAAAACTAAAAAAGAAAGGACGAGACCATGTGGAATCATGAATGGGACTGGCCCCGCTCAAACAAGTTAAGCAGAAATTGAAAGTTCACTGGCAGCTAAAAAAATCACATTGGCACTGCAAAGTCTCAAGCCAGCAAATGGTTTGCACCAATTGCACACTTTCCACCAAGCGGGTAGAAAGCAAATCAGGAAAGAAAACTGTTCAAACAAAATTACACCGGCACCTGGCAGGCGTCTCGACTCCAATTTGTGCTCGACAGCAAAAGAAAAAGAATGTAGTGCAGTGTCTCTGAGTTTTTTTCATATTTTATTTTTAATTCCTTGCGTCTCCCACTCGCAATGGCAAGTTGCGTAAACCAGCTGCTTTCAGCAATGGCCCCAACAATGTGCAATCCACACAAGCACCTTATGGCACATCTTTTTTGCACGGGTCGAGGCGCTATGTGTGCAGAGGATGCACAAGTCACCTTAGGCTAGTGAAGAGAGAGTTACGAACCAAAAAGCAAAGCAGCACCAAAACACAAAAAACACAAAACACCCCAAAACCCAACCCCAGAAAACAATCCAGGTTCGTAACTCGAGTCGGCTATGTCAGCCAGTTGAGAAAGGTGAGACGGGGGGCGATGAATTCAGCCTTTGCACTCAGTACTTCATCATGTCATCATGTGAACTCCACAAGAAATGACTGTTCAGCATCCTCGTAGCAGTCAAGTCCTGTGAACCTTCGTGCGAGATTCTGCGGGCTACGCCATACTTCAAATGAGGCCACTTCGGTCAAGCATAGTATTGCAAAGATTGGAGTTACACGAGCGCATGAGCAGCAGCTCAAGCAGAGGCAATCGAAACACTCAAAACCAACATCCCTCGAGTTTTTGCTGGCAAAAATGTCGGAATTGGACTGTCAGACACATGAGGCTCAGGGAAAACCACAATGTCAGCTAACAAGGACTCCAAATCCTCGAAAGCACAAGAGCGGATCCGAAACATGTAGTGTTGTTGTGAGTGGAGTGCATGCACAATTCCGCCATGGCCAAATCCCCCCCCCCCAAAGGGGGGAGACGGCAACAATGCACCTCGAGTTTGCGGCGATGACTCCAAAAACAGCTTTGCCACGGGAGTCACAGAAAGGCAAACCTTCCAAAGAGGTAGCAGGAGGCCAGACTGAGAGGCAGACTGGCTCAATGGCAACAGGATGTTGAGCATCGATTGGCGCCTTGCAGGTATGCCGCTAGTTTGTGAGTTCTTGAAACACGCAAGTTTTTTTTGGCACGAGTTCGGACGCCATGTGTGCGGTGTGCACAGGTCATCATGAGAAAGGATGGAGACTCTGCATATTTGTAAGGGGGAGCAAACCAGAAACAGAACCAAACAACAACAGCAACAAAAACAACAAACCACCCCAAACAAAAGAGACCCCCAAACCGAATGAGCAAAGTTTCACACTGTATTCTACGGTGAGACGAGTGAGACATAAAAGAGCGTTCAACTAACTAATCGGGCCTGAATTCACGAAGTTTGCCACACAAAGAATGGAGCATTGGGCTGCTATCCTTGAAGGCCAAACACCGGTGGCCTTCAAGAGCGGACAAGGGACAAGTCATCCCTTGCCAGGTTAGGTTGACAGCACCTCAGCCATATTCGACGATGCTCGACAGTTTCAGCTGTGCGTACTGTTTGCGGCAATTCAGATCTGTTATGATCTTTTACGATCTTCTGTAGTTGCAATGCTATTCTGGACTTGGAAAACAGCCTGCCTGAGGGCACAGCTATTACACACGGCTGCACAAGCTGAGGCGACTGTGGCCGGCTGCGCGTAATAGGGTGGAGGACATTGCAAACGAGCGTTGCTGCAGGCAACCTACCAACCTCCCTCTGCCAGGGGAGGTTACCCGCACCCACCCAACAGGCTCCAGCAGGAGCATGGGGGGTGTGCGAGTATGCAAAATCGGGTGGATAGGGCTGTCTTCATGGGTCGCTATCCACTTACACGCAAGGCCCTCGTGAAACATGGTGAAACATAAAAATCTCCTAGCATGGTACTTTGTGCCCACTTTGTACAAGATTGGCTGAGTGAGGGCCCATCCTGCAGGCAGGATGCCTCAGCTGTCAATAGGTGTGACTTGTTGGCTAAGACAAGACGTAAGCGCCTCACCTTGCCCTCATGATGTTCCGCCAAGCAGACTGGGAGAGAGCCACACCATAGATCGTGCGGTAAGAGCGCAGTCTGGAAAGCTGCCGTGGCCTCACTGACATGCGTTGGCCTTAGGTCGAGGGAGCGGCAGGCATTCAGGTTTCGGGTATCATTCGTATGTAGAGTTAGTATTCCACGCAGGAGGGCAGCCAGCACCTGTTTTTTTCCACGAGTCGAGGCGCTATGTGTGCAGGTTCTGCACAAGTCACCTTGGTCAAGTTAAGAAGGAGTTACTATACAGGTTGCAAACCAAACAGGAGAACAAAACACCCAAACACCAAAACAACCCAAAACCAAAAACACCAAAAGGAGGGAAGCAACCTGTTGCGCAACTCATGTGGCCGTGTATGCCGCGAGAGAGAAGGTGAGACAGGGGCGTTGAATTCCGCAAAACTCTCAGTACTTCTTGTCCCTCAACAAACTGCATAGTGCTTGATTAGTTCTTGGCATAGTCAGGAATTTTGGAGATGGCACAGGGAGGCCAATCTAGACCCTCGCAAGGCACTTGAGAGGCATCAGTGTGTTGTGTGAGTCAAGGCCGACATTGGGTCCACTAAGGACAAGGTGGATGCAGGCTAAGTTGACTAGCTTCCATCGATGACCTGAGGCTCAAAATTTAGCATGATGAGGCAAATCAATGGAAGACCACTGCGCTTGCAATCGGAATCTCCAAAATGCCGAAAGAAAGAGACAAAGTCCAGCTCACAGCCAAAGGTACTGCTCTCTCCAATATTGGGGAGTTGCTCCAAGACCGCATTTTCAAATTCGTAGAAGCGGTCATATTCCTGCAACTCGACTGTAAGCTGGGTTTCTTCTCCCGCCAGCGTGGTTAGGATCAAGTGCAAGACCATTGACTTTTCATCGCTCCATTGGGAGCTAGTCACCGACATAATGTCTGTTATCATGTCATCAGGTCATGGCCCGAAAGTGTACGTCTAGCTTCGAGCCTAAATGTCCTGCAGCGGACCACATACGGGCTTACATGTCTGGCGTTCTCCCTATGGGAATTTGGGATGCGGACAACTGCACGGGCAGCCGTTTGAGCGCATTTCAACCTATGTTAGTGTTCGGTTTTGTTTCTCCGACACCTGGACCTGTTCCTTTGATTGCTATATTTGCTATGCAAAGACACATAAAAAATCCCCCCTGGGGTAGTCAATGCATTACATGCCTCGAAGGCATTGTCAGCAATGTGTAGGCGTCGTCTATTAGTTTCTTTACATCCATAGGTGAGGCACTCAACTTGCTGCGCTCTGCAAAGGCCCTGTGTCCAATGTGACGGAGCTGCTGGGGTAGGGCTAGTGTGCATAACGATCCGCAGGCTGCGAAAGCTTCTACACTAATTTCCTTCAGGTGGGTCGGCAAGGAGACATGTTCCAAGTGCTGGCAGCGCGCAAAAACACGCATGTGCACAACGTCCACTTGCGTCCGCGAGAGATCAACTTCAACTAGTTGCCTACAATGCGCGAAGGCTTTGTGCCCGATGAAGGTCGTCCCTTTGGGCAGCTTGACCAATTGTATGCCCGACGAGTGGAAGCACCCAATTGGTATGCCTGCTGGAGAGACCGAAGGAAGCACCATGTCTGTAACGGCTCTTGTCGGAGATGAACTACGCGAAAACAGGTGAAACAAGGTGAGACGCCGTTTTCCTATACCTGTGCACTACACCCATCCAGTGCCGCTACGCGGGTAACAGCCTGGGCACTGTCTACTCAGGTTAGCAGCTACTGTGGTCAAGACGTTTGTGGCACTCACAGGACCAACACACGGGCGCCAGCCTGCAAGGCTAGCTTTGAGGTGCAAGTCAGTGTGGAGGGCAGCCAGCACCTGCAGGGCACCTTTTTTTTGCACGAGTGGAGGCGCTGTGTGTGCAGGTTCTGCACAAGTCACCTTAGTCGAGTTAAGATGGAGTTACAAACCAGGTTGCGACCCAACAGGGAAAGGCACACAAACAAAGACCCCAACCAAACAAAACCAAACAAAGCGCCAAAACCAGCAAAACCACCAGAGGGGAGGCAACCTGTAGAGTAACTCCTAGGGCCATGAAGG